CCGCCGGGTACCGTCGCAAAAGACCCGCTCGCGCACGCTCGCTGCCAGACTCCCGCGCAGCCCCTGCGGCGGCGCGGCGCGGCGCCCCGCAGGGAGGGTTGCCAAAAGGCGACAGCCCCTCTCCCGGCGCGGCCACCGCCCGGGCTTTCCGGGAGCGTCTCTCAAGTGCGGGTAGGCTCCGCGCGCCGGCCCACCCATCACGGGGGCCAAGGGGCCATCTGCAAAGTCTGACCGGTCTCTTTGCCCACTGCGGCAGAAGAGCGGGGATTGAACGGCTTGGGGCTCGGCCTGGTATACACCCTCATTCATTCAGTTCACCATTTACTTATCGATTGCCAGACACGGTTGGTGGCTCGGGGGATGCGACGGGGAACAGAACAGATAAAATCTGTGCCTTTCTTGGAACTTACATTCATATGGGAAGAGAAAGAAATCGATTAATATCGGATATTGATAACAGATATGAACACAGTAAAACGGGAATGTACTGTATTAGAGGCAGGCTAGAATTGTATAGGAAGGCCTCACTGAGCGGGTGACATGAGCTGGGACCTAAAAGGGTGAGAAAGAGCCAGCTTTGGAATAAGCTGAGGAAAGAGCATTCCCACCAGAGGGACTAGCAGGTGCAAAGGCCCTAAGGTAGAAAAAGGCTTGATCTATCTCTAGGTTGAATCCTACGTGATAAAATAGGGAGAATAGGGATGAGCTTGAAGCTCTAGGCAGGGTCCACATCCCACAGAATCGGAAAGAGCATAATGATAACAGCTGTCAATGTGAAGACTTGTGCTATGTTTATCCCCAGCAGTCCTGAGATGTGTGCTCTTATTATTCCTATTGTGCAAGAGGAAACTGAGGCCCCTAGAAGGAGAAGCAAGTCACCCAAGCCTTGAAGTAAAGACTAAATCAAAATTGGCCTGTCTGCCAAGGCAGATCCTTGACCACTAAGTTGTGACTGCCTCCACATTCCACCTGGCCCATGATTCTCATCCTGCAGGCAAATGGGTATCCTCCTTCCACTTCATCAGTATAAGACCACACCCAAAACAATATTTTAAGATCAGCCTCAGTCCAGACGACCTCGGAAGGCACTGAACAGTCACTAGAGATTCATGGTGAGGGGCAGTAGCACCAGCACCAGCTTCAAAGAGCTGCCAGCTGAATTGGGGAGGTAAATGTCCCAGGGTAGACACATCTGAAACCAGGGCACTGTCTTACAATCCCAGAAGCAATGGGGAAGGGGAAAGGACTTTGCAGTGTTCTATGAGAACTAACAATAATCCTGCTTTACATTTCTAAAGTGAGTTATGCTTTTTACAGTGTTTCTTTGACCCTTAAGTGGGAGCTATAGAGCCAAACTGCCTAGGTTCTCTGATTCCGAGCTCTTTCATTCTTAGCTGTGTGATTTAGGCAAGTTACTTACTCTCTTTGCCTCAGTAAAGTGGGTGATGTTATTAGCAACAACTACATCAGGTTGCTATGAGGATTTGAGTAATACGAGGGTACTTCAAAAACATTCATGAAAAAAATGGAAATAAAAGATAATATGAATCTTTCCATGAACTTTTTGAAGATCCCTCATACATGCAAAGCCTGGTGCATAGTAAACGACCATAGCTTTCACCTAATCCAACAACCCTGGGAAATGAGATGAGAGAGAAGAGGCTTAAAAAGTAGAAAAAGAAAAGAGAGGAAAAAAAATTTTTTTTTTAAAGATGACCGGTAAGGGGATCTTAACCCTTGGCTTGGTGTTGTCAACACCACACTCAGCCAGTGAGCGAACCAGCCATCCCTATATAGCATCTGGACCCGTGGCCTTGGTGTTATCAGCACCACACTCTCCCGAGTGAGCCACGAGCCGGCCCTAGCAGAGAATTTTGACTCAGATAGATATGGGTTCAAATCTTGGCTTGGCCTCACCTGACTATGACTTTGGGCAAGTCACTTTCCTCTCTGAGTGTCTGTACATCACCTGTAAAATGGGCCCAGTGCTGCCCAACCCACAGGGATGTGATGCAAATTAGGTAAGATAGTGCAGGTGAGGCCCTGGACCAGAAATCCCAAACTAGCTTGACTAATCTGACTTGCAAATACTTTTTGTTAGTCCATACAATGGCCCCTTACAACCCTCTTGTTTAGGATACATTTTCAAACATACAGAAGTTGAAAGAATATTACAAGGAACACCTATACACTCTCCACCTGGATTCAACAATTTTTTTTTTCCCCTGAATTATTTAAAAGTAAGTTGCTGCCTTACTGGTACTTCATACCTCAATACTTCAGCAGCAAATCCTAAGAAAAATAACATTCTCCTCCATAACCACAATAATATTAAGAAAATTAACAATTGTAACATAATATCCTGTAATATCCAGTCTGTTCTGTGTAGACTTCCCACATCTAGACTATATACCAATGACCAATCTGTGCTTCATGTCCCATCTGAAATAACAAGGCATCGAAATAATTTTTTTTTTTAATGAAAGAAAAAAAAAAATGTCGGGAGGTCCCTACCTCAAACTCCTCCTCCACACTCCTTTTTCATCTCTGTGTTAGATTTCCAACTCATTCAAGCATGCGTGCGTGCATTCATTCATTTGACTATTTAGTCCTCCCGTCAAACAAACTCACTGCATTGTGATCTCTGCTCAAATGGTACCTCCTCAAAAAGACCTTTGTTCTAAAACAGCTTCCCTCTCACCACTTCAGCACTCTCTGTCCGTACCATTACTCAGCTTTATTTTTCTCCATAGCACTTTTCATCCTCTGACATTCTATTTCACATTCTATGTGTTTATCTGTTCGTTTTTGTCTTCCATATCAGAACATAAGCTCCATAGTGCAGGGATTTTGTTTTATTCTCTGCTGTATCTTTGCACCTGGCACAGCGCCCAGCAGCAAGTAGGTGCTCAATAATTGTTGAAGGACTGCTGAAAGAATAGCAGCTGTGCACTGAGCACATACTGGGCATGACAGATACAGGGATGACTATGTGGAGGTTCTTGCAGTCCAGTGGCAGGACCAACAGGAAAGTGGATAACTGTGGGACAACATGATGAGGGCTGAACTCCATGTGGCTGGCAGTGGAGAAAGGTATCTGGTGAGAGTCTAGTCTTCTAAGGGACATTGAGACAGATTGCCCAAGGGGGAGTTAGAGGAGGCCTACCTGGAGCAGCTGGTTCCTCTGAAGAAAAGGAAAAAGTGAGGGGTAAGACTGGAAGGGCCTGACCCTGTGGCTCAGCAGGGGCCCTGGAGTCAGACAGATCTGGTGACCAGCCAGTCCTGCCTCTTCCTCACCCTCACTCTGTCATCTTGGCAAGTCACTTTACCACTCTGAACCTCCATTTCCATACCTGTAAATGCTGTAAAATGGAGATCATACAGTTCCTCCTTCCTGGGGTTGCTGCAAGGATTCAGGATAATGTCTCTGTAAAATGCCTGGTATGTTGCAGGTGCTCAATGAATGGGAGCTCAATGAATTGCTATTTTTACACTTTTTCCTGTGAGCCATGGGAAGCCCCTGGAGGTTTTAGAGCAGAGGAGTGGCCTAAAGAAAAGGAGGTAGCTGGAGAAATCACAGGAGAGCACAAGTTGGGCCTCTTGTGCTTGTCAACACCCAGTTGCAGGCTGGCCCAAATCAAACACATCGAGAAAAGAATCCACAGCCTAAAGTTAAAAAACAAGTAACACTATGCTCCGTTCATCTCCTCAAACTCTACTGGGAAAGGTTCCAGGCACCCGCCCTGAGTAAGCCGTTGCACAATCCATAAACAGTAATCATCAGTAGTAAGATAACATTGCAGAGCAATGACTATGTGAGTTCAAATTCCTAGAGGCAGTGAGAAATAAAGAGCACAGGCAAGTATGTAATTGCTCGCCAAGTCCCAGGAGCCTTGGCATCCAGTGCTTCCGGTGCCAGGAACTCCTGTGGACTGAGCATTGACCATGAGGTTCACCCTGCTAGCCCCCAGCCAAGCTGTGATTAATCAGCTCC